TCTGTCCTATCTCCATGTCTGGGTTTGGAGGAAAAAAGCCCTCGGGTATACAAGCAATCATTTCACTTTATTCACTGATGCAAGTAAGTCATACTATCTAATACAGAACTTCTCAGCTGATATGGCTCAGTTACAAACATGTTACAGGTCTTCCAAAAACCCTGAAAACTATATATGGACATATGGTATTCCCTCTTGTGACAGCTAATTTTATGCCTCAACTTGACAGGGCCAAGAGGTGCCCAGACATTTGGTCAAACATTATTCTAGACATATCTGTGAGGGTGTTGCTGGATGAGATTGACATTTGAATTGGTAGACTAAGTAAAGCAGATTGTCTTCCTTAATACGGATGGCCTTCAATCAATTGAAGACAGTTTGTGGACTGTAGATCTTAGGATGTCCATGGTCACCTCTATAACTGCATGAGCCAATTCCTTATAAAAAAACTGGTTAGTCTGCCTCTCCATGCATGCATGCATCTATCCATCCAACCTCTTGGTTCTATTTCTCTGGAGAACCTTTGACTAATACACCTCTGTTTTGTATAAATGACTACACTGGGGTATAAAGAGACTGTACTGAAACTCTCATTCGAAATTCCAAAGGAGTGTATAATGCCAGCACCAAAGATCCTAGAATCTGGCTCTTAGGCCAGACAAAGGCACACCTCCTTTAAAGTATCTTTAATTTTTTAAGGTAATTTCTAAAATTCCTTCTACATATTTCTAGTTAGTTTTCCTTTCTTCCTTACAAACAGTAGTCGGTCATGTCAACAATTTTAATATTGATAGCATTAGGTCTTGTTCTTAAGTGGAAGTTTAAAAGAAACATAAAATCCACTGGGCAATTTAATCTTCCATTTAAGAGGATATCTTATGTCTTACCATCATTAAATATTAAGTAAGATATCAAGTACAATCTACAATTGTATACTTATCAATCCCTAACTTCAAGTTATATAAGAAGAGTAACCAATGCTCTAAAAAGATGGTTTGCTGCTTTTGCATAATTTCTGGATAAATCTAATAAAGTATTTCTATTCTGGAATTAAAGACCAGAATTTCAAATTTTCTGAAGGAAATAAAACAAAAGTAATTGCTGTCCAAATACTTCAAGCAAGCAACGAGCTATAAGGCCTAAAATCTCAATTTCTTTCTTTTCAAATTGACATGTTATTGACTTATAATATTATATTTCATATGAATAGTTCAATATATATATGTATTACAAAAGGACCACCATAGTCACATTTTTTTTTTTCTTGTGAGGAGAACTTTTAAGAACTACTCTCTTAGCAACTTTCAAATACAAAAGGCTGTATTACTAACTGATCACCATTCTGTACATTGTATCTCTAGGACTGATTTATTTTATAACTGGAAGGTTGTACCTTGTGACTACTTAATTTCTTTATTTTGTTGCTTACTTATGTTTTCAGTCATAAGTTCAAGTGTTTACCGACAGAAAGGAAAACCTGCACAAATCTCAGGCAGGTGATTAAATAAATGAAGGTGAATATGTCATATGTCAGTATGAGAATGCTGACTCTGCTGAGCAAACCAATAACTGAATCTCTAAATAACATAAGCCAAAGTATTACTGATTCTCTTCTTTTTCCTTTTTGTGACACTCAATTTTTAAAACTCTCAAGATAAATCTTCTAATAACATTTTCCCAGCAGTGTTATCAATTAGATGGCTAATAAAAGAAAATGATTCATAGCTTCCTTTTCTACAGCCAGTCAATATAAAGAGATTACTTACCCCAATTACCTAAAATCTCAAGTAACACCCAGGGCAACATTTTAAAACGTTTACAAAAGCTCAGGGTTTAATGCAATGTTCATGACATTACTGCCTTTACCATATATCTAGGAAAAAGCATCTTGACTATTTCAATCAACGTTCCTTTCTAGAATGTTAACAGATTAAAAAAAATAAAACTGTTAAAATAATACACATAATGGTCTTTTGAAAAAACACTGCTTTCAAAGAAAGGAGATTTTTATTATTGTCATTTTATTTTGTTCAAATCTTAGCCACAAAAGTGAAAAATAGTTTTGATCTTTTCCCAGTTCGTACAATAGAGGCATCACTAATTTGCTTTTCTCTACAATTTACAAGAATGTTAACATAAAAATGAAATAAACTGAACTCCGGGTTCTCAGAAAAAAAAATATTCACTGAGGGGGAAGAATATTTCTCAATAAATGGTCATTATGGTTTTTACATCAAGGCCTGAACCCTCTGAGGCTTGCTGGAATCACAGCTGAGAATTGGGTTGACTAGGAACATTTTAGAAATTTGAAAGGGTTTTTCCTAGACTCTTCCCTAAGTAATAAATTATTGCAATAAGGTTGCAATAACTGATTGTCGCAATCTAGGGAAGATATATTTTATTAAAATGTTAAGATATCCCTTTGGTAGACTGAAAAAAGGAAAGTACTAAAAATAAGGACCTAGACAATGTCACATACATAGTGAAAAGTCAAAGAAATTTGAAATAACAACTATACCATTTGTCTGACTTCACAAACAATGAACTACTCCTTGTGTTTGCTTAACTGCATTAACTGAGCTCTGAATTCTAAAAGACTCTCACAACATTCTGTCAAAGTACAATTTGATGGCACTCTGTTCAGGACAGAATTGCTGTATCTTGGTAAGATTCAATCTACAATCAAAGTTTTACAACTTACAAAAAAAACCCCTAATGTTTACATTAATATGTGAGGATTTCTGTGCTGTCCCTCAACATGCTGTCCCCATTACACGGCAGCAGCTAGGATAAAGATTTTAAGATAAATATCAGTGTAACTATTCCTCTCTAAGAGAACTAGATTAAAGTGCACGTCCAGCAGATTCTGAAAAAGGAAGAAACTATAGGTCACAAGCATTCACAATAGCAGGATAAGGATGAAAGTCACTTTCCATCTCCCCACCTCAATTCCTTTCCAAATTCCTCTTCTAGCCCCACTTTCAGCAGTTTCTCCTTTCCAACATCTATCTCCAAGTTCTGCTCATTTTGCATAACCCATTCAGCAAAAAGAAAAGCCTGAGGATGGAACCAGACAATCTCGGAAGTCAATGCATCCTGCTGTATACCATTTGAGTTTTATTTTTACAAAACAGAATCATACTACAAGATTCTTATTTTTCCCAGTATTTCCCAGAGTATTTTTTTCACTCATTAAAAGTTTTACTGTCCTTTTATCTTCACAAAAGTCTGCAGCAATAGATATTATCTCCTTTTTACAGACAACTGAGTTCAGAAGCAGTTTGTCCAAAATCATAATGCTATACAACACTGAATCAAGATGTGAACTCAGATCTGTAAGATTCCATAAAGCCTATGTACTTTAAAGTGGTTATACTTTAAAATTTCATTATATAATGACGATGTTTAAAGTTCTAAGGCTATAAATTAAAGACCATCCAATACCAGTGTCACTCTATACTCCAGTAAGATGAAAGTAAACAGGGAAAGGATTAGGTCAAAAACCAATAGTCTTTGCTTTGCATTATATAGTTAATTCAGTCTTTGTTTAAAATTGTAAGCTTCTGCCTCAATAATGAATTACTCAACAGGAATAATACACATTAGCCAAACCATGTAATAACTGAATTAGCAAATTAAGCTATTCAGGCACTCAATGTCAGATGAAAAGTGATTCGTTGTGCACTCCAATGGGTGGTACCATAATTTCTCTAATATCTTAATGTGTTAGAGATATTTAACTAGACTTCGGAAAAATTTTAAATTGAAAATGGTTTGCTTAGCAAAAGATAAGTGAAGAATCAGAGTTTGTTGATTCTGATTCTCAGTATCTTTAAAATAGGCCTGTGGACCAAGTTAATACTTGGCAATAATACACCTATATCAATAAAAAGCAGTGATTTTCAAGGAAATGCTCTTTTCTATACTCCTAGGGTTGAGGAAAGGTTAAATATAGCACAGGGTACAGCTCAGGGCTGCGGAACAATCCGAATAACATACTGCACCTCTAGGTACTACTTTAGGTCAAAGTAAACCTTGATGAATCTTCTATGAAAGTCTGGACCAGAAAAAGATAAAGGACAAGGGCTAAAAATATTCTCCCTGACAAGGCTAATTCCTAAGAAAAGTAAACATAAACATGCATTTGCAAGAAATTATAAGCAAATAAACAGTCACATGAAGTCAAGGTATGGCTGTATCTTTTCCTAGGTCTAACCCTCAGTCGTGTCCTACTCTTTGTGACCCCATGGACTGTAGCCCACTAGGCACCTCAGTCCATGGGATTTCCCAGGCAAGAATACTGGAGTGGGTTGCCATTCCCTTCTCCAGGGGAATCTTCCCAACCCAGGGATCCCACACCAGTCTCCTGCATTGTAGGTAGATTCGTTACCAGCTGAGCAACCAGGGAAGCCCTCTTGTTCTAGGTCTAACCCTTAATCTATCTCACAGCCTCACCCCAGGTCTTTTATTAGCTGTTAAACTGAGGCCCAAATCTGCTTTTTTCAAATCCTTTTTCTAACCTTAAGTCCCTATAGCCTTCATCACAGACTAAGGTTTCAAATTCTGCTTGCTCTTGTCTGCAATCAAAAGTCTTTCCTAGACAAAATTAAGAGATTATTTTCTGAAGCTTAGATCTTAGTTTAACCTTGTAAAATCACTCTTAAGGTAGAAACTGAAGGATTTGCTGGAATAGTTCATTAGCTAATTAATGAATTTTTTCATAAGTGGTATTTATATCTACCAAAAAACTAAGTTGATGAATTTCTATAAATATTAAAGAAACAGGTAAAGAAAAATCTTACCAAGCATTATTATAGGAATGTCTCTTTAAAGTTAACCAAGTGATTATGAAACATGTAACTAATCTACAAATCTGGCAAACACTATGTATCATAAAGAGACTCCTTTAACAGGTACCCAATTAAAAAATGCTTTTTGAAAAGCTGAATTAGAGACCTCCATAGCATTGTTATACAAAATAGAGAAAAATCAGTAAATACCTGAACTGAAGTGGTTGTTTCGTGTAAATGACCACCAGCAACTACTCCTTTGGAAACTGCTAAGGAGAAACTGTGCACTTTGGGGGTTCCCGGAGTATCAATCTTTTCATCTGTCCTATGTGACTGCCAGGCTTCCTTTCGATGATGAGATTCAGTGGCTTGCTGGTCTCCAAAAGCAGCCCAGGAACAGCTATCTTTCTGTCCATCCTCAAAAGCATTCCAATCTACAACCTGGCTAGGACCAGCTGAACTGAAGTCTGCAAAATCATCAGAGTCTTGAAAAGCACTGCAGTCATCTTGAATACTTGGCACAGAATCAAAGTCTCCAAACTCACCTTCTTGCCCAATTTCCAGTTTTGAAACAGGTTCAATGCCTGTCCCAGTAGGTTTTCTTGCCAAACTGCATCCCTCTGATAAACTATCAGAAGTCTGTTTTAGGTCTGACTCAGTAAATATAATTTCCTCTTGGCAAGAGACAGTATTTGATTCCCCGAATTCTCCAAAGTCATCACCTGGTTCACTCAAATGTGGAAAGTGCTCTGAGGACTCTTCAAAAGTGACATCACTCATTGAATCTTGTGTACCAGCAGTAACAAAAGGTGGAGTTGTGCCACTGGCTGTGCCAAAGTCACCAAAATCATCCTCAATGGTATCGTTGCAAGTCACAAAGTCATTACTACTATCACCATTTTTTACACTCACAGAATCATCCAAAACATTTTCTTCTGTAGGATCAAAGCTGAGGCTCTGGGAGTCAGTAAACCCTCTAATTTCTTCTTTAGAAGAACTAATTTCATCGTCTGCATCCAAAGTTTTAGTAGAAACCATGCATAGGTCAGTACATTTAGAAGTGAATAAATCAAGATTTTCCTCAGCTTTACATTGTTCTCTCCTACTGGCTTCTGAATTTTCAGCTGGGTCTGCCAAACTCCAAGCCTCTGACTGAACACTTGAATTGAAAAATTCATCTTGTTGCAATGTGGGAAGGCCTTGTTTTCCCCTAGTGAAACCCCTGTCACTCAGTATGCTTATTTCTGAAACACAAACCTGATCCTTTCTAGCAGTGTCTCCTTCATCATCAAAGCTTCTATCCAAAGACACTTCTTTTATAGAATTCAGTTCATTGACTCTATTAATTTTATTGTTTTCCCTGGTTAGTGCTTCATCATTTAAAACTGCACATCCTATTTCTTCTAGTTGTATCCTTTCTTTTTTGGAAAATGTGGCAAAATCTGCAAATTCCTCAGCAGGACTAGGTGCATAGTCTAAATTATACTCAGTACTATGAGTGCTAAGAGGCTTTAGTCCTTTTGAATCAGCTACAGTGTCTAGATCATCTGTTCCCTGAGGATTTACAGTTTCCAACACTGCAAACCCATTTGTTAGAATCTCCAGACAAGGCGGCTTTTCACCATTGCAGCTCTCTAACTGCTTGTTCTGATGAATAACATTCAGATCAGTTCTAAAATCTCCTGGAGAGAAACTTTCAGGTGTTCCAACATTCTGTCTCTGCTCCACTTCTTTATTTAAATCTTGTGGACTTTCTATGCCATCAATGGAAGTATCTAAAGTTTTAGATGAAATTATTTCTTTGCTGGTGGTAGAAAGTAAAACATCAGACTGACCTTTCACAGGAGAAGAAAGTTCAGCAGTGATGTCCTTATCGTTACTATTTTTAATGGACTTAAAGCTTGTAAGGCTATCTACATTTTCTGAGAAATCATGAATTGGCATAAAATGGTTTGAAGGTACAAACTCTTCCTTGGGACGAGTATAATCTGGTGTATCAAAATCAACAAACCCTACACCAGAAGGGCTAACTTCAGAAAACCCACCAAATTCCCCAAATTCATCGTCATCATCATCCTCAGCTCCATTGTCTAGTGGTGGTGGGGATGAAGAGTACATTCGAATGATGTCTGGCTCCATTGTTCAATTGCTTTCAAATACTTAATTTACACCTGGAAAAAAAAAAAGATTTCTTTTTAGGGAACAGATTACATACAACAAAGTCATTCAGAATTCTCTCAAAGAAACTCCAAAATGGTGTAAATTTACAGTGCTCTGCTTTTTATTTTTTCAACTATTTTTCTGTAAAGCAATTATCCTTCAATTAAAAAATAAAATTTTTAAAAAACCTAAAAAAAAAAAAACCAACTATTTTTATCTTAGGTAAGATTACACAGCTATAATATAATGGGAAAAAAAACAAAACACCTTTTACAGTGTATGTTTCCAATGGCATTGGTAGCACATTACTGAATCTGAGGATTCCAGAAAATTTCAAATAAACACTTACAAAAGTACATCTATAAGAGTCTCTCTTGGGGCACTTGCTTGTTCTCTTAGACTCTCCTTCTAGTTCACTGGGGACTCAGCTTGCCTTGTGGATTTGTAAAAGTTCTTTATAAATAAAATGAAAATTCTGTCTCTAATAATGGCTGCAAATATTTTCCTCAATTTGCTTTTCAATGTTTATTTTTGACTCAAGTTAATTTTTTCTGTTTTTAAAGACTTTATTTTTTCAGAGAAGCTTTAGGTTCACAGGAGAATTGAGCAGAAGATATAGAAACTTTCTATACAGATCCTACCCCCATTAATTTGCATAGTCTCCTCTGTTACAAACATCTTCTACCAGAGTGGTATATTTGTTACAACTGATGAACCTACACTGACACATCATTAACACTGACACATCATTATTACCCAAAGTCCAGAGTTCATATTAGGGTTCATTCTTGGTGCTATACATTCTGAGTTTGGACAAATACATAAAGACATGCATCCACCATTACAGTATCACACAGAATAGTTTTACTGTCCCCCAAATCCTGTGTTCTACCTACTCTATTCATCTGTCCCTCTCCCCTCCCCTGGCAACCACTGATTTTCTTACTATCTCCATAGTTCTGCTTTTTCTAGAATGTTATATAATTAGAATTACAGAGTATGTAGCTTGTATATACTGTATGACTGGCTTCTTTCACCTAGTAACATGTATTGAAGGTTCTGCCTCCATGTCTTTTCATGGCTTGAAAACTTTATTTTCTTAAAGTATTGAATAATATTCCATTACCTGACTATATATAGTTTAATATTTTATAACTTTCCATTTTGAAATTGCTTAGGACTCACAAGAAGTTGTAAAAATAGTACAGAGAGTTCTCACATATGCTCTTACCCAGTTTCCTTCAGTAAGAATACGGTAAACAACAATAGTACATGATCAAACCCTGAAACTGACATCCATATAACCTATTAAACAGCTAGAGACCTTGTTTAGATTTCATCACTTTTCCTTTCTTAGGGTGTCTTCACAGTTTTATGAAACTGATCACACAGGCAGATTAGGTTTCACTGTCACTATAATTGGGGTTAAAACTGTTGCAAAAATAGTTCAATAATATCAATCAGTATAAAGTCCTTTGTGTAATCCCTAAATAGTCATGCCCTTCCATAAACCTCAACTGTTGGCAACCACTAATCTATTCTCCATCATTATCATTTTGCTATGTCAAGCGTGTTATCTAAATGGAATTATGTAATATGTAACCCTGTAAACTTGGCTTTTTCACTCAGCTTAATGCCCTCAAGATCCATCCATGTTGTTGTTTGTGTCCACAGTTCATTCCTTTTTATTGCTAAGTAGTATTCCACTACACAGATGTCACCAGTTTGTTTTTCCGTTTACACCATGTAAGACATCTAGGTTATTTTCAGTATTTTTACAACTACAAGTAAAGCTGCTATGAACATTTGTGTACAGACTGTTATGTGAACGTGAGTTCTCATTTCTCTAAGATGAATACTCAGGAGTGCGAAGGCTGAGTCACATGGTAAGTGTGTAATTAACATTATAAGCCAAACTGTTTTCCCAAGTTAATCTTTAAGGGGTCAAATTGATTTTCCATTAGTAGTTTTCTTCATTATTTTGCTGTCATAAAAGCTTAAGTTTTAAATTTAATAAATATTCACTTTTATTTTCTTCTACTTTACAGGGCTTTTTTTTTTTTTTTACACTTAATACAGTTACAATTTATTTTGGCATATGGTCTAAAGCAAAGGTCTAAGTGAATTTTTTCCTAACTAGCAATTATCACAGTCACATTTCTTGAATAATTCTTCCCAGGCCTGTGAGTTTATGATATCTCCTTTTTTTTTTTTTAACATTCAATTCTTAAATGGAATCTGTGTATGAATTATTATTTTCCTCTGTACTAAACAGTCAAAAGTGTCACAAGACAGAAATTATCAGTAAAAGGAAAGGGAAGATTAATACCAAAGTCCTAGAATAAAAACAGCCCATAAACAATAAACTGATCCTCACAGTTGTCAAGTTAGACACAAGAGGAAAATGTTTACTGCAAAATTCAACCAGTTTTGCAAGATAACAACAATAAATTCTTTCAACTCTCAGGATAAAATTTCTTAAGATCTTCCCGTTTTAAAGAGAAGGTACCTTATAAACCACATAATTTAATTCAGAGAGGAGGAAAATGAGGTAACTGATGAGCAGCTTTACTGAGTCATATAGCTGGTTAGCAGAAAACGGCTTCAGAATACAAAAAGATCTTTAGGTTAAAGACTGGTCAGCGCTGAGAGAAATAAGCAAGTCAGAAGAAAAAAGATCCCACTGGAATATATTTACTTTAAATTGTTTACCTTACGAAATCAGCATTATAAAGAAGGAAATAACTGCTTTAGTTCCAAGATACTTTTTTTCCCTGCAGATTTAAAGAGAAAATCATACACACAGTAAAAGATAGATAAATTCTATTTTATTCCCTTGTTGAGCTTCTTGATAACCCCTTCTAATGCTGAGTATACAAGGTCATTTGGCCTCTAACAGTTTCCCTATAATTATGAAGTTCCTAGTGTTTAAAAATACTCTCCAACTGTTAATGAAGGTGTGGAGAAAGGGACACTTGCACACACATACAGAAGGCAATTTGGCTATACTATATGAACTCTATTTTTTTTTTCATTAAACAAAATGCTCCAGAAGTATTACTTAAGCAAATTATGCCATATCATTACAATAGGATCCATCTGAATCCTTTTAATATAATTCCTTTTTAAAATTTAAACACATTCATAATGATGCAGACATGTCAAAAGGACACAAAAACCAGCTTGAAGGGGTTACTACTGTTTAAATCAGGGACAACTTCAGGATCAAAATAAAGATGATGATGGATTATAATTCACTGAATAAAATAATACACTATCAGCCCTCATGGACATAAATATGTAAATGAATAAATTGAAAGTTAGATTAGGAACAAGATATTGCACAGCTTCAAAATACCTCCCCACAACATACTCAATTACAAAGGGAACAAGGGTGACTTCCCCTTGGTGAAGACTGACACTTAATCAAGTAACCAAAGTCAGTACCACTAGAAGCAGGAATACAGAAATCATGCATCACCTGGTAAGATGCAATGAGGACACAGACTCCTTTTTGGAATTCCTGCCAAAAATACACAGTTTGACTCGATTCATGAGGAAACTTCAGACAATTGCAAATTAAGAGATAATCTACAAAACAACTGGTCTATAATAATCTTGAAAAGTATCAATGCCATGAAAGTAACAGAAAAATTGGAAAAATGTTCCAGATTGAACTTGACTAAAGAGCTGTGGCAAGTAAATACTACACTTGATTCTCAACTAGCTCCCCTTTTTATAAAAGTCATTATTGGATGACTGTGAGACTTGAATAGAGCCCAAGGATTAGCAGCAATGCACTGATGCTTTCTTGATTTTGATGGTAGTACTGTGGTATGTAAGAGAAGTCCTCAGTCTACATACTGAAATATTTGGAAGAGATGGGGGCAACAGTCTCAAACTGTTCTGGGGGAAAAAAAATCTTATTTGTACTAAACCTGCAACTTTTTATAAGTTTCTGATCACCGCAAGATGAAAAATTTAAAAAGTTAAAAGCATTCCAGGAGATTTATGCTTGCATTTAAATATGCCTATTTTATAATAAAATGTGTTACTTACACAAGAATAATGCTTTATTAAAAATTACAGTAGATATGCATAAAATTTACCAAATTTAAACCACTTTTAAGTGTACAGTTCAGTGGCTTTAGGTGTATCGACACTGTTGTACAACCATCACCAGCATCAATCTCTGGAACTTTTTATCCTCCAAAACATCAAAGTGTCTTTGTACTTACTAAATGACAACTCCCCATTCCCCATCCCCACCCCCTAGCTCCTGCAGCCACCATTCCACTTTCTATCTCTAGGAATTTTGACTATTCTAGGTGCCTCCTGTAAGTAGAATCATGTGACTGGTTTACTTCACTTTGCATGATGTCCTCAAGGTTTATACATACTGCAGCATGGTGTCAGAATTGCATTCTTTGTAAGGTTGAATATGATCCTACTGTATGTAATACTATCATCTGTTGATGGACAGATGGGTTGGTTCCACATTTTGGCTACTGTGAATCATGCTTCCGTGAATGTGAGTGTATAACATACCTTATTTTTAAAAATGTTTTACTTTGAAAGAATAATAGATGAATGAAGTTGCAAAAATGGTAAAGTCCTGAGCACCCTTCACCCAGTTCCTTCTAATGGTGACATCTCAGACAGTTCTAGTATAATAGCAAAACCAGAAACATGGTATTACTATCAACTGAACTACAGATCTTTATTTTGTTTTCACCGTTTAAAAAAAAGAAACAAAAAAAAAGCGCTTGCCTTCTTTTGTGTTTGTGTGTAGTTCAATTTTACCCCACGTTCAGATCTATGTAACCACCACTATCAAGATACAGACCTGTCCCCACTCTTCCAACCCATTCCTGTCCCTGTTGAGATTGTTCAGTTGCTCAGTTGTGTCCAACTCTTTGCGACCCCATGGACTGCAGCACGCCAAGCTTCCCTGTCCTTCACTATCTCCTGGAGTTTGT